CTCTTAACAAAGAAATAAATGAACTAACTTTTAATTTGCGAAACTGATACGGGGGTTACCGTGAAAAACGTAACTTTCGAAAACCGTTGGAATTTAAAACTTGACACTAGAAACGGTTATAATTTATTATCCGACCAACGTCGGATTTAAAGTCTGATGAATTCAGCGGAAGACTTTGCGTGGAAATTAACATGATAGTCTGATAAAAGTTCTGAAAAGTTTAAACATTCATCATCAAATACAACCCACATAAAAATATCCTGATCGCACTGAACAGCTCGCCCGCTCACTCCTCATCACCGACCCTGCGACCTGAAAAATCATGAAAATGTGGGGCGTGAGCACTAAGGCACTGTGCTCCGCAGAAACTCATGTTAAAGTATAACATCGTAAATAATAACATGATCATGAACTGAGTATATAACTGAACTGAAACTGATATCTGATATAACCGGTCTGATCTCGCAACATAAGTCACGTAACTGATAACTGAATCTCGCGACCGAAGTCACGTAGTGACATAAGTCACATCTGAACTGAAACTGAACATCTGCCGGCAAAGCCGGACGCCATGTGCACACTCTAGTGGGCAGACTAGGGCCACTAGAACTCAGAATGGACCGGCGACCATTCCGAGCGGACCTGAATACATACCTCGACCATGGTAACGTGATTATAAACCATGTAAATACTTAGTCTGAGTCCCCACCTGAATTTGCTGAAAACTGAACTGACAGGGAAGTGCTGAAGCCTGATCAAACTGAAAATAATATAAACAATTACTATTGGCTATGCTCAGACTGATAAATTTAACTGATTACTTATGTTAAGATGCTTTCTCGAGTCTAACATGATATTCGGACTTAAACGATATAACTGAAATCGGCTAAGTACGGAACTGAACTGAAAATAATTATCTGAACTGAACTTGACCCGGGAATTTAACAGAAATTAATACTGAAACTGAAAACCGGGGCTGAAACTGAAAATAACTGACTGAACTGGTCCAGCCGGTCTGAACCGGTCTGGACCGGACTGCCGATCTGACCGAACCGGGCAGTCGGGCTGGCTCGGTC